GGGGGGGGGAGGCTTGGTTGTGACTATCTGTCAGCCTGTTTATGTCTGTTTATGTGTATACCTGTGGGTATGTGTTTTTCACGTGTAGGTATGTGTGGGGGAGGTGGTGTTTTTTTTGGGTAAGTGTTTTACGGGGCTCGAAACAACGTAAGGCCATATTATTTTGAATTTTGCCCTATTCAAAATCGATTTTGGACAGCCAATGGATCTTTAAAGTGCGCAACTTACACACGAGACCTCCGACATTTTCCAGTTCCTCTCATAAGATCAGGGGTGTAGCTGAAAGACAACAGTAAGAAAGAGTCAAGGAGTAGCAGTAGAAAGGCTACAGAAAAAATCAGGAGCCCAGCGGAGGGGGCAAAGGAGGTGAGTGGATGGGGGAAGAAAATGGAAAAGAAAATAGACTACAGAATATTTCTTGACAGCAGGAAATGATGTGAAAGGAGACAATTTAGAAAGGAAAAAAATTTCCGTTGCTATCCGTATGGTGTGTGTGTGTATGGAAGTGGGGGTATTGGTGTGCTTGTCTGTCCGCCTGTTTATTTACAGTGGAAACTTGATAAAACTGTGATGATGGGAGAAGAGAAAATGTCCTGTTATATCCGATCCCTGTTAAATCAGAAATGCAAGGAAAGTAAGCATTTGTGGACTAATCCAGCTGTACTTATTCATGGGTAGTTTCCCTTGCCACAAGTACCCACGAACAGGGGTTTTGGCACCAACTTTCTCCTTGCCTCCTTAAACCAGAAAAAGCTTGGTCCACAGCATCTGTATCGGGTAGTCTCATCTTCTTTCGATCCAGAGCAAACTTTCCATTGGAGTATGTTGCCACTAGCTTCTCTCTATCCTTGATAATGGTGTTAATCGACCCTTGTGGAATGTCGAACTAACGACAAATCTTTGCCAGTGGAGCTTGCTTTTACTTTAGTCAACAGCCTGGATTACTTCGAAGTTTTTGTCAATTGAAAGGCATTTTCTCTTGCGCTTGACATCGTTGGTGACATATTACGCGTGCGTGTTGCTAGGTTTCGGGCTAGATCGAGGTCTGCAGCACACTGCAGCCCTCTTTCGCTTCACATGCGGTGTGTGCTTACAGAGGCATGGCTTGCGTGGGCTTGCTCCATCCCTGCGTTACTCTCTTTCTCTTACTTTTTACACATTGTTAATGAGCCTTTGTCCCTGCTATAACCGGTTGGGCTCCAATGAGGCCCTGTTATTGCCGATAATTTTTAACAGAGACAAAGCATAGGAAAAACGGGGATTTATAAAATCCCTGTTATTACCGGATCCCTGTTATTACCGGGCCTGTTATATATGGTTTCCACTGTATGTGTTTATGTGTTTATGTGTGTGTTTATGTGTTTACTTGTGTGTATGTGTTTGTGTGTGTGAGTGTATGTGCCTTTCAGTTTGCCCATGTATGAGTGTGTGTGTTTCCTTGATTGTTTGTTTGAGAGTATGAGTATGTGTGTGCTTGTGTGTGTGTATGTGTGTATGTGTTTGTATGAGGATGTTTGTGTACGTGTGCATGCGCTTACGTTTTTGTGCTTGCATGGTGAAGAAGAAAAAGGTCAGAAAACGGAGGGGGTAGCGAGAAGAGGGAGTAAAGGAGGGCAATTTTTATTTTTTTAATTTTTTAAATTTTTTTTTTGGGGGGGGGGGGCGATAGTGACAAAGTAGATAAAATATTAATCTGTAAATGAAAACGATGCCTAAAGTGTGACCAAAAGAAAAACGATAATAAACAGGAACAAAATTGTGGGCCAAAGTAATTACTGTGACATTTTGTATGGAAAATGGAAAAGGGAACTGATGACTACCAATTGCAAGTTCTGTAAAGTTATTTTCAGTTTTCTTTATACTATTTTTTTCTATCCTCCTTCGTCTTCTCTTCAAGTTGTCTTTTTTACTTGTGAAAAAAAAATCGTCCTTTTTGTCTAGTTTTGTGGTATTCTTTTGTTGTTGTCACCCCCCCCCCCCCCTTTCCCCCTCCCCCATTTCACTATTTTATTCTCTTATTTTCAGTGGAAAAAGATTATGCCTCACCCACTTTCGACGGGGTACTTTGCTGAACATGTAACATTAAACAGGAAAAAACAACAACAACAACAACATTTTCGTCAGCACAACAGAAAAGAGACTGTACGTAAAGTCCACCCAATGAAGAGACATCAAAACAGCCGTCAACCCTGAGGGAAGTTCTTCCACAGCATTGCAGCATTACCATTGGTGTGACATCGTGACAAAACCAGGCGCTCGTCACAATGAAATCGAAGAAACCAACCGACATATTTCCGCCAGCTGAACAATATTTTTTATTAATGTATTATTTTCAATTTACTTTTTTTAGGGGGGTTATCGCCTCTTATATCCATTAAATTTTAGGTTAGATATTTCTGAAAATATTGACCGAAAGGACTTAAAATGTAAATTTGTAGGTTTCAAAGACACAACAGCTTTAGAAGTCATCAAACGTGGCGGCCATTTTCTCGCTAATTTTACTTCAGACGCCTGGACACCTGCACCACTTTCAATCGCAAATAATTATCATCCCAACTTCAACTCAAGATAGATGAGTACTTTTTTCATCAAAACCAAGGCAGGTGACCCAACTTTAAGAATATTTCAATAACTCTATAATTATGTCTAAGAATTGACGAGCGCCGGATTCCATCGTGTTGTAACACAAATTGTGTCATTTTGTACAGACCTATCATCTTAGCGACACAATCGGGATTTGGCGTCACTTCCAGCTGGAGTGGATGATTGTATTCTTAGTTAGAATAAAGCACTTTCGAAATGGTCCTCTCAGAATTATTTTTGTACATCGCTTGTGATCACAAAGTCACGTCTTATCTTTTTATTTTGTTGTGACTGGTTGACAGGTGCTTTGGTGTGATTTACTCCTTCTTTCCTATCAAACGTCTATTATTTCATCTCTCTCTCTCTCTCTCTCTCTCTCTCTCTCTCTCTCTCTCTCTCTCATCTTCGTCCCCATTCACACAGAAGAAGAAAAAAAGGGAGGAGAGTGTCTTTCAATAATTCTGCAGTTATTCTAAAAGGAGAGCTCCTGAACATTCTGTTGGGAATCGAACCAAGATCGTTCACAATGCTGTTTAGCATGATAGCAGCTGAGTTAACTGTAGACCACAAGAGAGAAAAAGAACGCCTCAAACTCTAGTACGGAATTTTCTTCATACATAATGTTATATGAATTATTTATTTATTTATTCATTTATCCATTCATTCATTAATTTATTCATTTATTTATTTATTTATTTATTCATTCATTTATTCATATATTTATTTATTCATGTATTTATTT